AGAGCAGGAGGCCTCTGAAATTCAGTAACTGCCATTTACACAGAGCCGGAGCCCTCTGAAATCCAGTAACTGCCATTTACACAGAGCCGGAGCCTTCTGAAATACAGTAACTGCCGGACCGTCCTTTGCAACTACCGAACCATATTTTACATAGTTCCGGAATCCAATAACGACCGGGCCACACTTTACACAGTACTAGGCCCTATTGCTGGATCGCCCCTTTGCAATTGCCGAACCATATTTTACATAGTACCGGAGCCCTCCGGAATCCAGTAACGACCGGACCGCACTTTACACATTACTAGGGCCCTATTGCTGGATCGCACTTTACACAATGCTGGAGCCCTACTTCCGGATCGCACTTTATACAATGGCGAAGCCCTATGGCCGGACCACTTGCATAGAGCCAAATCCCCTATTTTGGTGGGATAGAGGTGAGAGATCTGGGTAAGGTAAAAATAAGGGACGGTAGTTTAGGTATCCTATTGCTGGATCGCACTTTACACAGTACTGGAGCCGTGTTTCCGTATCGCACTTTACACCATGCTGAAGCCCTATGGCGGGACCACTTGCATAGAGCCAAATCCCCTATTTTGGTGGGATAGAGGTTAGAGGTTTGGGTAAAGTAAAAATAAAGGATGGTAGTTTAGGTATTTTTTTTATGTTTTATGGTTGGGGGTATTTGTATAGAAAGTGTATTTTTAGGGAAAACATGCAAGAAAAAGTTAGGTTAAGGTAAGTTGCATAAAAAGTGTAGTTTTCAGGGTTGCTCTTTTTTTTTTTGGTAATTTTCTCAACTTATGGATGTTGTTTCTATAAGGTTGCAACCTTAAACAAACCAATTAAGGTGCACCTTAAAATTTCATCATAATATGTAATTTTGTTGTAAAACGTAATTAGTATTATTTTAAAATCTATTTTCATACCTAATTAGAAAATTTTAAATCCAAAAATAGTTAAAATTAAGTAGATCTATAAATATATGAAAATCTTGTAAATGGATGGTCTAGATAATATGTTGCAAGATGCACTATTTCCGGGATTAAAATTCTTTTCTTTTTCATATTCATACATCTCGATGTCTAGATGATCGATTGGATTGTCTTTTCAACATTAAAACAATATTTTTGATAGATTTTTTAGGTGCGTCTATCATTCTACATTTTAAGGTCGGAACCTTATATAAACTTTTCCCTTTTTTTATACCGTTAGGACTTGCTTTTTCTAAAACTCCCTCTAAAAAAAACAAAAAAAAAAGGAAGTCCACCGCTTCAACATTAATTCTAATAGGATCTTCGTATCAGAATCATGTCCTTACCAAAAGATAAGGAAAACTTTTATTAAAATACCAACTCAACTAATATTTACTCAAGAAAAGGAAACATACTTCATCTTTCTAAAGTAACTCAACAAAACCGGATTAATAAAAAGAGGGCAAGCTTTCTACAACATAAAACTTATATACTTCCCCTTATCCTACCGTCCATTTTGAATGGAGGGCTAAGATTGTCCCAATCACAATGTCAAGTCTCTACAGTATTTTATTTAAATTTTTTTTCTATAAACTATTTTAACGTTCGTCCAATCCTCTATTAAATTCATACTAGCAAAAAATAGAAAACAAATATTTTCAATAAAATAAAATGACTAAAATACCCCTTAAAATTTTAAGGGGCATTTTGGTCATTATATTTTATCAAAAAAATATTTTTAATATTTTTTATGGTTACACCCAAATGAGAAGATGGAACATACCTAATTTTATATTTATAAACTTTGTTTAAAAAAACTAAAAATAAAATAATTTGAGACATCGGATCTAAGATCAAACGGTGAGTAACTCTCTTGATCAAAATTGGACGGCTGGATGGTAGGGGAAGCATAGATCTTCTATGCTATAGGGGAAGTATAGAAACCTTTCCCATAAAAATATACTTATCAAACAAACACAGAATCTTAGACAAATCGTATTTCTAACAATTAACTTTAATAAAAATAAAAATAAAAAATAGAAGATACCATAACAAAAACTAACAAAATATTTAAAAAAAAAACAACCAAATATAACTCCAACACCTAAAATAATTATAATTCCTAAAAACTAACCCAAAAATCTATCCGCATCTCTAAAAATAAAATCAACAAAACTAAAATTAAAATTAAAATTTTGTAACAAGTGGATCTTGATATGCATCATTCTCCCCTGGTTGGAGAAAATTCGATCAGAGTGTTGAAATCCGTTAAGATGAATTTTTCAATATCCTTGTAATCTTCTTCAACTAGAAACATTGTAAACACGATCTTGGGACTTATGGGTTATTACATTGATCATTACGCAACAATCGTGCATTGAAAATGAAAAGGTCTCATGGAAAAGGTCATTGTTGGTCAATCGAATCTTTTCAACCACAAACTTGTTGAAATTGCTTAAACTTAAGCTTAAGACATACGACGTGTGTATATTTGATATGAGCACTAGATTCAACAGTTGAACCAATTCAACCTATGGATTCTTCTTTGGGGCCTTCTTTTTTCTTCTTCGTCAAATATTTGTTTAATCATGTAATCTTGAACATTATCACATATTGGATCTCCTACAAATCATTGATCTTCATCTAAATATGTATAGAAAATTGGGGGCAAATCCCAAACGATAACCTGTCGATCTTCGATACGACGCCACCAAAATCAACCTTGTTCCCTTTCAAATCATGTAGATCAACTAAATCCTATGATTTATTCTCCTAACTATGGGACTGTCGAGGCAAGCGTGTGTATAGAACGGGCACTCGAAGACAGTTTCCCACTCACTATCGTCATCATAGTATGTCGGTACTGTGTTTTGTGCAAAGCATTGGGTCAATTCCTCAACTTGTCGACTCAAATATTCTATCTCAGTGTCTCAGAGGTCTCGCTCTCTTAAGGATGGGCTCATTCTCGATACCCAGCTATAGGACACGTTCACGAGCCATGATGCCTATCGACAAACACCATGATCCCTAAGAATCGACTGATATTATGATACCACCTGACGTAGTTGAAAATTACCGGCCCACCAATAAACGGTAAATCAACTGCATTTTAGATAGAGAAATAAAAAACATCTAATAAATCAGCAAAAGGAAGCACGAACGTGGGGAGTCTGAGTCCTCCACCAAGAACTACAAGAGCACATAAAAGAAAAACTCATAGAAACGGGTCTCTCACTCTCTCTCTCTCTCTACAGTAAGCTTTTGTCATTCAACCAAAAATCCATCATCCCAATACATTGTATGTGCTTCCTTTTTTATTCCCCTGCAATTTGCTTTCTAAAACTCCCTATAAAAATGGAAGTTCACCACTTCAACATTAATCTTAATAGGTGGTTTAATATCACGTGAATCATGTCCTTATTCAAAAGATAAAGAAATATTTTATTCAAAAACAGAAAGTACCAACTCAATTAATAGTTATTAAAGGAAAGTAAACGGACTTATTTCATCTTCCTAAAATAACTCAACAAAAATGAATTAATAAAAAAAGACTTGTCAAATTAACCCAAAGAATCTTAGACTAATTATATTTCTAACAATTAACCTTAATAAAAATAAAAAAAAAGACACCTTAACAAAAAATAACAAATTAAGTTTTTTTTTAAAAAAACAAAACAAAATGTGACCCTAACTTCTAAACTAATTATAATTCCTAAAACTAAACCAAAAAATCTACCGACATCTCTAAAACTAAAATCAACAAAAATAAATTTAAAATTGTGTAGCAACCTGATCTTGATCCCCATCTGATCTTCCCCAGAATTATATGAACAAATCTTACAAAATGAAAGGGGTGACAAAATCTAGGGGCAAGCAGCCTACACCATTGTTTCATTCATAGAAACTGCTGCCTTGGCCAAAGCATCAGCAACCATGTTGGCCTCTCTTTAGATGGTAGGGTCTTCCAATGATTTTCACCAAAAGATTAAAGCTTAGTAAGTACAATTATCCACCATTGCGCCAATCTCCAAGAGGCCTACAATGACAACCCATGGAATCAACGGTAAGCTTGGAAGTTGGAGTCTCTTCAATAACAATAGGTAGACAATACATTTCACCTGCTAGTGAGATCCCCTACTCCAATGGATAAAATTCAACTGTGTTATTAAAGTTACTGCCTAATGGGGCTGTAGAAGCCACAATAAATACACGTGCATTATTTTTAATGATTCCTCCATAGCTAGAGCTACCCGGATTTCATATCAATTTTTAGCTTGAAGAAAACTAAAGGAGGTAGCAGCCATGCCACATGATATTGAATTAGTAGCTGTGTTAAATTTTGAGGAATGGAAAGCCTCGCCAACGCTCCAACCCAATGTAAAATATGTTGTAGGAGCTGCTCCCTAGATGTACGTGGCAATTATAATACATCTTGAAAGGGTTGGTAGGAGGTTTAAAAACAAAGGAACTAGGGGAAAAAAAAGAGGTGGCATGAGATAAAGTTTAAAAGAAAGTTAAAATATTGGTTTAGGGTTACGTCATGGTTGGTGAATTTTGTGTTAGTCTTTCTTGGAAGTAGAGAATTTCTTTACATCTTCCTCTTTATAGATTCATTATTAATAAAATCTTCCTATTAACATTTTTTTTTAAAAAAAAAAGTCAAAATATTAATACACAATGTGAAAAATTAAGAGATTTTATGGTCCCTCAAGTACATGCTCTATCGAATAAATATGGATGTTTAACGATTTGATTTTTAAAATGTACTACATGAAAATTAATTACAAAAAAGTATGATATTTATGTTGTTTTGGTACATTTTAATAGCACGAGATTTCTCCAAAACTCACTAAACCCATTATGCGTGGTAAAAAATGAAAAATCTATTATCTGCCTTGATAGATAATATTTGAAAATATTTCACGAGCGTCTTTTCTTTAAAACTTTCTTTGTATCTCCCACTAAAAATTGTCTTCTCTCGTAAACCAAGCAAGGAGCTCTACCCTCTCTTTCCCCTTCTCCCTTCTCTAATAAACATAAGCCCTGTCCCCCTATCCCTCTCTCTCTCTTTCCCCTTCTCCCAAATGCATAAATTGCCACTTGCCCCTAACTTTCCGCTCTCGCCATCAAATAGCCTTGCTCTCTAGCTTTGGTCAGAAAGATACCAGGTACGTTCATCCATCTCTCTTGGTCTTCTTCTATTTGTTTGTCTCTCTAGAATTCCTAATACTGGCATTACTCAACTCTTTCTTGTGGTGTTTTTGGATAATATTAAATCTTCTGATAGTTTTAATCTCTCTCTACAATTTTGAGATGATTTTGGTCTATCTCTAGACATTGTGATTGGAGCTTCATTGATCTCTCTCTCTAAAACCTAGATAGGGTTTTGCTGTTAAAGTTTGTTTTGTTGTAGATTACCCACATCTAATGGGGTTTTGATGTTAAATAGGTTGTAGGGAATATCAATACCCAATTTTAACTTCTGAATGTTCTGAAAATCCAATAGGTAAATTTCTAAGACAGTTGTTTCGTATTTATTGAAAAGAGAAACTTTTGATCGTTCTGATTCTAGGAAAACAACACTTCTAAGACAGTTCTTTTGGATTTATTTAAAAAGACAAAGTTCTAATTGTTCTGAAAATACAATGGGTAAATTTAGAACTCTTACCAACAAGTTTCTAATTCTTCAACGTCAAAAAGTTGTTTCTAATTTGTGAATTATGACTTTTCTGCAGTCCCTCAGCTGCTACAGTTTCTTGTAACCATGTAACTTTTTATGTTTACTCTTACATATTCTCAATTTTGTTACGAGCATGAGTAGTTAGACTATGGACCTACTTGTGAAACCTATTACTCTCTTTACCTATTTGACAAATAACAGCGCAAAACAATTACAGAAGGCATCAATCAAACCTTATATGCTGAGAAAACTTTTTGAGGAATAAAGGCAACTGCAGTTGATTTCTAATAGATATAGTGTAATGCTCTGTAATCTGGACTCATTAATCCTAGTAATATGAACTTATCAGTAGATGCAATAGTCCAAGAATTTGCTACCGATAAGTAGCTGTTGTCTGGGTAGCAGCTGGGGGCAAAATATTATTCATCTAAATAAATAGAACAAGCTCATCGTTTTGTGCATTTAAAGGCAAAAATGATGGCTTGAGATGGTTGTAATTTAAAGTCCATTTGTTAACAGTGCATATATTATTTCTGCAGGTATTGGAACATCTTGCTATCGAAGGAAGTACTTACCTTGGAGCACACCAATTCAAGTCCTCCTCGTGCAGGAATTGAAAGGTGTGATCTCTTGATTTGGTTGTTGCTCTTTTGTGTTCCTTTGGGACGTAATAAAGCCAGTTAATTCTTCATAAATTCTCGTAGGGCAGAAGAGTTGGTTGGTTGGGTCTATGGTACTGTTAGTTCTGGTCTTTGTACAAAGGGTGAATTTGGATAATGTAATGATTTGTACAATAAGTTTAAGTTTTCTACAAGAAGTTTGATTCTATTTTAAACCTGTACACGAAGTTTGATTCATTTTACTTCAACTTCTTATGCTCTCATTCTAAACGTTTTACATCTTTGATAACAACTGGGCATACACGTAAATGTTTTCATCTTCAGTTGTTGTCTTGACTTCAATTTCTTAGTTATGTAGGCAAGTCCCCTTAGTAAAAGTTGGTCTCAATTGGTGTCATTTTCTATTGGAATTTTCTTTAGGTTTAGGGTGATCAATCTTTTACCATGGTGAATAACAATCAAACCTCAAGCACGAAGAAAAGATGAAAATAGCCGCATCAGTTGCTGCAGCTGGTAGTACTTAAGCTATAGTAGGTACTATTCTAGTGACCTATGTGCATAAATCATCTGCACCAAAGTATAATTTAATTGGTACAAAGTACCATAAAACTATAATTAACTCTACTGAGGTGGACTGTCGAAATCAGAACAGAATTAATAAAAGAGCTTACTCTATCTTTACTCTATTATTCATTCTTGACCCTAAATAATCAAAGTACGATGTACTTCTAAATAGTGTCGGAAAGATGATTTTTTAGCAGTAAAATCTTTGTGATGGCCTGAAAATTTATTTCATCTCTAATTACAAATTTAAAGCCTAAAAAATAATATAGATCGGGCAAATCTATAAATACTTTAAATTATTGAAAATTGACGCCCCAAATAATGCATTACAAGATGCGCCCTTTCCTAGACATTGAAATCTTTCTTTCTTTTTTCTTACTTCTACACATCTCTAGGTAGTGATGATCTATTTGAGAGTATTTCGATATTGAAACAACCTCTTCTAGTGAATTTTTTAGGTGTGTCTTAATTTAATTGTTTAAGGCCTCAACCTTATATAAATTTTTTCCTTAAAGAAAATATATCTCTAATTTCATAATTCTGAAAAAAGCAACACATTATGAAAACAATAAAAAAATATATTCAATTTAAGTATACTTCACATTCATTTTACTTATCGATATTTATTTCAAAGGCTAGAAGTTTATATAAAAGGTTAATTCTTAAGACTTGATTAAAACAATTTTGTTTTATAAGCATAATTTTGAAAACTATTTTTTTAAATGGAAAAGTGCATAAATATATATTATAATTTCCATTATTACTAAAATACCAAATAGTTTTCGTTATTACAAGACTGTCCGTTTTTTAGCTTCATAATGAAATGTTTTAAAAAATATTGTTTTATCCTTTTTCGGGTTTTGAACAACCAAAACAGCTATATTTTCGGTTTTTCAAAAACTGAAATGTGCCTCATTTCAATTTTCAAAAAATCGAAAATGACCTCGACAATTTAAAAACTTTTGTTCTCTTCTGTCCATCCTGTGGTCTGTGTATATGATTCTTAAAGCTACTCCTGTGTGAGTCTTAAAAAAAAACAGTAAAAACTACTACTTTGTGGGTCAAGAGAATCACTTGTTTCGACCAACCGTAGCTTCTTGCAAGCCAAACAGTATCTTCGGGTGTGAAGCAATTCGAGGGATATGAAGGAGTAAGTGTCTGGAAGACTCTTTCCTCGGCATAGCGGTCGGTTGCTTGCAAAAGGAAATATCTGTATTATGGGCCTCACCAAGCAAAAACCCAATGAGCACTTATCATATAGGGTTAGGGTTAGAGCTGAACCTTCTGCGGACTCATCATTCACTTTCCCTAAATTCATCTTCAGAGTTTAACTGTGTAAATTGAAAATTGGGATTACCATCCTTTTGTAAGAAGCAGCCAAGGGAATTAACCCTAGCCATTAGGGGATTTTCGTTTGAGACGAAAGACAACTAAGAATCACCTAACAAATGTTGGGTTAAGTCGTCTAAAACTTCTTTGTCCAAGGCATTGGGGTTGTTTGATTCTATTTGTTCAGCGAAGCAGAGTCTAATGTAGTGAGCACGGTCTTTTGTGAGAGATTGTTTTTTTGAGACTCATCGAGGAGTAGCTTTGAGAATCACATACACAAAGCACAAGATGCATAGAAGAGAACAAATTTTTTTAAACTATCGAGGCCACTTGCGATTTTTCAAGAACCGAAATGAGGTACATTTTGATTTTTGAAAAACCGAAATTCTAGTCATTTCAATTGTTCAAAAAAGGACAAAAAGTAAAATGGCTTTTTTTAAAAAAACAATTCGTTATGAAATGAAAAAAACAGACATTTCAGTAATAACTGAAACTATTTGGTATTTTGGTAATGATGGAAACTATAACGAATATTTATGTAATTTTCTTTTTTTAAAATTCCAAATAATAAATCTAAATGATTTAAATTTATATCATGGAATAAAATTTATATTTAAGCTATGTCATCACCTAATATACTAAAAGAAAAAAACTCTACATAGTTTTAATCACAAATAGAGTCAATAGGGTCAATCATTATTTTGAAGAGTAATGATCCTATATGATCCTCTCCCATCCATGTGTGTAGGACCCCAAATGATCACCATTAAAGTTGGCACAGATCTCTAGAAAAGTTATCATATGGATGTGGGACTTGACTTTTTTAGATATCCGTACCAACTTTAATAGTGATCTTTTGGGGGTCCTACACACATGGGTAAAAGAGGGTCCTATAGGATCATTTCTCTATTTTGAATTTGGCGATCAAATTAATTGTTTATCTGAAAATCTGAGTTGCTTGAATAGGACTAGACATGTTAGTAATCGATGGCCATACCGATCAGGTTGAACCCCCATAAGTTATTATATAAGGGGTGCAACTGGCGTACGGATGCATCCGTTGCTGTAGAGGTAAGGTGCGCTTTCAAATTTTATAACCGTATATAGTTTTGATGTAAAATGTTTTTAGGATTATCTCAAAATCTATTTTTATATCTAATTATAAAATTTTAAATTTAAAAAATGGTTAAAATCAAGTAGATCTATAAACATATAAAAATCTTGAAAATGGACGTTGTAGATAATATTTTGTAAAATGCACTATTTTTTGAGACTTAAAATCTTTTTATTTTTCATGGTCATACATCTCGATGTCGAGATGATCAATCAAAGGGTGTTTCAACATTAAAACTACCTTTTTCGATGGATTTTTTAGGTGCATCCGTAGCTCTACATTATAAGGTTGCAACCTTATATAAACTTTTTCCTTTTATAAATAAAGCGTGTTTTAAAATGAAAAAGTTTATATAAGGATGCTACCTTATAATGTAGAACTACGTGTAAAAAATCCATCGAAAAAGGTAGTTTTAATGTTGTAAAACCCTTTGATTGATCATCTTGACATCGAGATGTATGACTATGAAAAATAAAAAGGTTTTAAGTCTGTGCATTTTACAACATATTATCTACGCCGTCCACTTTCAAGATTTTCATATGTTTATAGATCTACTTGATTTTAATTGTTTTTTAAATTTAAAATTTTATAATTAGATATAAAAAATAGATTTTGAGATAATCATAAGAATTACATCAAAATTATATACCATGATAAAATTTGAAGGTGCACCTTACCTATACACCTACAGATGTATACGTATGCCAACTGCACCCGTTTAAAAATGGGTGTGGTTTCTATAACGTTGCAACCTTAAACAATCCAATTAACGTGCACCTGCAAATTTTATCATAACATGTAATTTTGGTGTAAAAAATTCTTAGGACTATATCAAAATTTATTTTCATATCTAATTATAAAATTCTAAACTCCACAAATAGTTACAATCAAGTAGATCTGTAAACATATGAAAATCTTGAAAATGGATGGTCTAGATAATGTATTGCAAGATGCATTATTTTTGGGACTCAAAATCTTTCCTTTTTTTTTTGTTCTTTTTCATATAGATGATTAATTAGAAGGTTTTTCCAGCATTAAAACAACCTTTTCTGATGGATTTTTGACGTGCATCTGTAATTCTACATTTTAAGGTTGCAACTTTATATAAACTTTTTCCTTAAAAAATTGAAGCTTTTGACCATATTTAATATCTATTATTTAAAGGGTGTGGTTTCCATAAGGTTGCAACCTTAAACAATCCATTTAAGGCGTACCTTCAAATTTTATCTTAACATATAATTTTGATGTAAAATAATCTTAATATTATCTCAAAATCTATTGTCATATCTAATTAGAAAATTTCAAACTTAAAAAATGCCTGAAATCAAGTAGATCCATAACACATGAAAATATTGAAAAATGGACGGTCTAGATACTGTTTTGTAAGATGCACCATTTATGGGGTTCAAAATCTTTTTTTTTTTTTCATAGTCATACATCTCGATGTCGAGATGATCAATTAGAGGGCTTTCAATATTAAAACATTTTTTCTAATAGATTTTTGATGTGCATCCATAGTTCTACATTTTAAAGTTGCAACCTTATGTAAACTTTTCCCTTATTTAAATGTTATATTAAGATATATTATATAATTACTATTATTTGTAAATCATAAAATATTTATAATATATAAAAAAATAAGATATTATCTATGTTATTGGTATATTATTATAGATCTTAGTATTATATATTATATCTTAATATAATTAGGGAAACGTTTAGGCTCTAAACAATCAATCTGGGGCCCACCTTAAGAATTTTATTAGAAGAGGTTGTTCTTATGTCTAAATATCCTCAACTTAATCATTTCAACATTAAGATGTTTGGACATGAGAAAAAAAATTGATTTAAAGTTTTGGAAATAGTGCATCTTGTAACGCATTTTGGATCGTCAATTTTCATGATTTTAAAGTGTTCATGGATCGGCTTGATCTACACTATTTTTAAAGCTGTAAATTTTATAATTAAAGATAAAAATATAATTTAAGACTATCATAA